AAAATATATATTATACTTTAATGTAATGTCATTCTATTTTTCCAATAAGTGATAAAATAATATGGGTTCTGTTTGAGTATGGGAGCAGTTCTAACAGCACTGATGATCATTTCCCAGCCCCAGTCTTCCTTCCTGTATTTTAGAAATGACCTTTAAGATGCCCCCAGGGTTTTCATGAGCTTCACAGGAACTGAACTAGAAAAGGAGATAATGAACACTCTTTAGATTAGCCATAATTCCTGATTGAAATGTAATGCAAACTAACATTTTATGACTTTCATAAAGTATTTTCTAGTTTAATAGTTTTCATTGACATTTCCATATGTAATATAATAAAGAAGACATTATGAAAGATGAAATGAGTAAATCTGTGCATTTAGGATGAGCCAAGCCTCGAAGTGCAGGCCCTAATTCATTTTCACATCTGTAAATTAATTTCTCTTGGGTTGTGTATAGCTTTGAATACTCTGGCTTTATTATAGCTGTCTCTAAAATCTCAAAAGAGGGAATCAGTGGCAGAAATGTCCCCTGGGAAATGAAGATATTTCTAAAGAACTAGATTGCTCAAAAAATTGGGAAGAGTGGCTCACATAATTTGAGATTTCCTGGGTTTGTTTATTTTTTTATATTACAGTTTACATATATTGAAAATTTTATAAAATTATAAAATTAAAAATTATATTTTAAAAAATAATATTTAAAAATGAACATATAAACCAAACTCACTAGTGTTGAGTTGATTATGACTCATTATGACCCTTTGATCTTTCATATATTTTGTAACAGTGGCTTATAAAATGTTTCAGTAATCAATGTAATTATATGAGAAAATGCTTCAGTATGTATTTATGTGAGAAATTGTTGATTTCTCAACAATCAACAGTGATATTGCAAGATTTAACTTCTTGTTTATTTTGGGACATAAACTTCTTTTGTCTTATAATAGAATATGTTTCAATACAGCCTTAAGCCTAAAAATGACTTGAGGTCTATCTTGTAATAAAATTTTTCAGTGTAGAGTCTGTCTATGTGTCCACATTTGGTGCAGTAATTTTGAAATGCAGGGTTAGTGCAAAATCAAACCAGCAATAATAATATCCAATTTTTAAATGAGAATATGTACTTGAATATATTGTTTTACTAGAGCAATTCAAATACATAAGGTATATTTGCATATGTGAAATTAATAAGAAATGTTTTCTTGAAAATATATCAATGTTTTAAAATGTGAAGGTAAAAAAATCCTAAAGAGTACGAACTAATAATAAAAGTTCATAGTACTATTTTGTGAAGTAATGAAAATAGTTGATCACCAACAGCATTTAACAGAGATTCAGAATACTTAAAAATTTTTTTAAATGGTAACAGTAGAATTTGTCCTCAAATTGTCAAAGACAGAGGTATGTCATCAGTTACATGGATTGTATTACTATAAACAAATCATAACATAAAAACTCTGATGGTGAAGTCTGTAGCATATTAAACTCCTCATCTAAAAGCTTCATGTCTCCAGAGGTTCGAAGGCATCAGCTGCTCTAAGGGAGAAAGACTTACAGCCTCCTCCTGTTAAGATCAACAGGTCAGCAAGTAATAAATGTTGGAGAGGATACGGTGAGGAAGGAACTCTTATACGGTGTTGGTGGGATTGTAAAATGGTACAACCATTCTGGAAAGCAGTTTGGTGCTTCCTCAAAAATCTGAACATAGAAGTTCCATATGACCCAGTGATTCCACTACTGAGAAAACAAGAACTAGGGCACAAATTTAAACTTGTACACCAGTATTCAGAGCAGCATTATTCACCATTGCAAGAAGATGAAAACAGCCTAAATGTCCAACCACAAACAAATGGATTGAGAAATTATGGTACAGTCACAAACTGGAATACTATGCAGAGCGCAGGAGTAATGATTTTGTAAATTATTACCTAACTTGAGAGGGACTGGAGAGCATTATGCTGAATGAGCTAGTTCAGTCCCACAAGGATAAATATTGTATAAAAACATTACTGTAGGATGAGTATAAGGATCAAGGAGGGGTGGGAGAGGCTGGAAGCAGAGGGATGTGGATGTACAGGGGGAAGGGGGGATTAATCATGGGCTTGTACAATTAGATGGGTAGGAGGTGAGGTAAATTGAAAGGATTTGTTTTTGAAAATAATATATTTAAATTTTGTAAATAAACAAGCAGGAAAAGAAAAAAAATGGGTATTTTAATAGAATAAAAGTATTCAGTAGGGAGAAGAAAAAAAAAGTCATCATCCTGGAAAACCCAGTGCAGGGATGCTTACTATTCGTTAAGCTTATAACACATACAAGCTAGTACAGAGCAAATGAATAATGAATTCAAACAGATTTTTCCAGCAGCAGTGTTTTCTATTAAGATATACTGACTAAATTGTGGAGGATACAAAACAAAGCTCTGCGGATGACTGATAGTTTTTAATAGACAAATTCCAAAAGACCTTGCTAGACTAAGGTACTTAAATGATGTTACAGATTT